TGAAGCTGAAACTCCAATACTTTGGCCACCTCATGCGAAGAGTTGACTCATTGGAAAAGACCCTGATGCTGGGTGGGATTGGGGGCAGGAGAAGGGGACGACAGAGGATGAGATGGCTGGATGGCATCACCGACTCGATGGGCATGAGCTTGAGTAAACTCCGGGAGTTTGTGATGGACAGGGAGGCCTGGCGTGCTGCAATTCATGGGGTCGCAAAGAGTGGGACACAGCTGAGCGACTGAACTGAACTGAAGTGCAAAAATACAAGAAATTCTGCGATTATATCAACATAAAATATTTTAAGAATACATTATTTAAATGTTATTGTTTATTTGGGATATATATGAAAAGACAGCTGTGTGGTATATGACACTAATTCAAAGATTCCTATTAGCCTTGATTATCCAATTTACGGAAAATATTACTCAATAATATTAAAAGGCTACAATATCCAAACAATTAATGCAGATATTTTTCTGCTCTGTTATTCAGAAATTTGATGAAAAGCAATCTCTAATGTCTCTTAATGCCTTTAAATGCCATGATGTTGGGCATACCTAAAGGCAGGTTTGTGCTTTACAATTAAGAAAAAGAAAATGACACTGTATTGTTGGAGAAGATTCTTGAGAGTCCCTTGGACAGTGAAGAGATCCAATCAGTCCATCCTAAAGGAAATCAGTCCTGAATACTCTTTGGAGGGATTGATGCTGAAGCTGAAACTGCAATCCTTTGGCCACCTGATGTGAAGAACTGACTCATTGGAAAAGACGCTGATGCTGGGAAGGATTGAAGGCAAAAGGAGAAGCGGGCAACAGAGGGGGAGATGGTTGGATGGCATCACTGATTCAGTGCACACGAACTTGGGCAAACTCTGGGAGATGATGAGGGATGTGGAAGCCTGGCGTGCCGCAGTTCATGGGGTCATGAAGAGTCAGGCAGGACTCAGGGACTGAGCAACAAAGGCAGGTGTGTGCTTTACAATAAAAAAATAAATGACACTGAATTTCTTTCCTGCGTGGAAACTCCATAGCTCTTAGAGTTATTCAGTCAACTGTTTAAAGTAAGAATAGTTACAAACATGAAATGTTAGTTTTCAAGTGTTCGCACATGTATCACTTTTTTGGGTGCTAATACTCAAGTGTTGCATGCCCGGCCGTTACTACTACTCTGAGAAGCTCTCTGACCGGCCTAGGCTAGCAAGGCTTTACAGGAAGAGCCAGAAGTGGACCTGGGGTTTTGCTAGGTTTCAGAGAAGTGAGGCTGATGATTGACTTTTCTCAGGAAAGCAAACAAGTATGTACGGTGTTTTGGAAATAACCCCCACCCAATAAAAATAATACAAACAACAGGTATAATTCTACCAGTGGCTTGGCCTTGAGTTAAAATGGCAGCAGAGAGGAAAAGAAGGTAGGTTGACCTTAAAGATGAACCAATGTCTTTTCAGTGTAAAATCTTACATAGACACTCACTATACAGTCTGTGGAACTGTGGCTATAAACAGCTTAGCTTTATCAGGTATAGACGATAGAAAGGATAATGGAGTCAAAGATAATAGTGTGTGAAAAGGTTCGGAGGTGGGAAAAAAAATTGTGTTAAGGTAAGAGTGAAGGACACTCTGACTGAAGCAGAGGGTGGGTGAATTTGAAAGGTAAGCTGGGGATAAAATGGAAAGACAGGTGGGATAGACGTCTGAAGACTCTGAATGTCATTTAGAGGAGATTGAATTTCATTTCTAAAAAGTCACTTATCAAATAATATACCAAAGAACTGTTTAAAACTTGTAGGAATAAGAATCTTTGTAGTTCTTATCACAGTGCTCAGAGTTTCAGTTACTTTTGTTAGATTAATACATTTTGCTCATGATTGGTCACATATATTTACAAAGGTTTACTGTGATTCGCACTGCATGAAGAGTCCATTAGATCAGGCAGCTCAAAATAGTCCAAGGAGAAGGTGAATGCGGTGGGTGTTAATTTTATCTTCTACCAGCCGAACGCATCCTTTGCAATGTCTGTTGGTTAGCGCCTGTGCTCCATGCCACACACAAAAGGCAGGATGGGAATTCCTGGTGGCTCAGATGATAAAGAGTCTGCCTGCAATGCGGGAGACTGGGTTGGGAAGATCCCCTGGAGAAGAGAATAGCAACCCACTTCAGTATTCTTGCCTGGAGAATCCCATGGACAGAGAAGCCTGGTGGGCCACACTCCATGGATCACAAAGAGTCAGACATGACTGAGCGACTCACAGTTTCATTTAGACATAAATAAATAGGCAATTTACCATCTTTGTTTTTTGGTTTCTGATGCACTAGAAACACCAAATGGCTATCAACTTGCAGAAGAATCATTTTACCTAGCATCCTGCAAAATAAAATGCTAAATCAAGACTAAAAATAGGTTTAAATTGGATCACCTTAGAGCTCTCAAGTTTATAATTTTAGTATACCAGCTAGTTGAAACTTCTGCATCCAGACACTCCCAACCCCCAGTAATTTTGCTGACCCAAATTATCTTCCTTGGTTACTCTGTCCCTGCCTCTTCTGTTCTCTGCATGAACACACTCATCCTACTGACCGCCCAGTTCACCAGCTTTTCAGTACTAGTGCTGGGAGGAATCCTGTGCTCACGCTTAGGGATAATTTGTGGCTCTTTTTCTGGCATTCTTTTTTCCTTGGTGTATACCCTAACAATCTTCTCTTTTTAAAGCCAGCTCCAGATATCTCAGCATCTTGGACACAATTTAGAATTCTCTGTTTGCTTTATGGATAGAGAATTTTGAAATCTGTGGACAAATATGCTGGAGTAAATGAGTCAAAATGCAGATGATTAATTTGGGGCTTTTGAAAAACATATTATGGTCTAAAAACTGTCTTGAAGTTCCAATTTTGCTTAACTCGCATAAGAAAGTGCAATGAAAAACCAGTCAACAGTTTTCAAGACCACAAATCCAAAACGATTAAATATTTCACTTTGCAAATTCTAACTAGTGTTTATGTGAAAATTTGTGCTACTGTGCAAGTGCTTGCTGTTGATGTGCTGTGTACTGTCTTCTAAAATTTTTAATTAATGAAAACCCATTTTAAAACTTTCTGCACAGAAATGGTAACAGTATGATGAATTCCAATACCAACAAAGCAATATTGTTGGTCTTGCTTGGTATAGAGTTTATTGAAAACTTTATCTGTATCATTGCTGTATCAAATGACTCGAAACCTAGTTACCAATCTTCTAACCACATATAACAGAAAAAGATAAATGGAAACAATTTAATGAATTGCAACAGGATCATAGTTTACTAATACAGATAATTATGCAGAATATAACCTCCATTAACCACAAACTACAACAGCACATAACTAATCACATTAAAGCAGAAAACTGGCCCAGATATGCCAACTCAGTAGCCTTTTTAATCCAACACTGACATAATTGAGCTCAGAGCCTAAGAGCACTTGCATTGCTGTTTGCCTGGATTTTCCAAACCATGTCAGTTCTTGATTCAGCGCCGCTATTGTGTGGATCAAATAATCCCTGGGCACAAAAATACGCTGGGGGAGTGACTCCCCTGGCGTCCAGGTTCTGAGTGTGGTCAGTCATTCCACATGCCTTAGGCGTGAGCTATCTTTACCATGATAAGATATTTCCTTTTCAAGTTTTGTAGTCCCCAAACACAAAATCCTAACATCAATAAAAGTCAAAGAAATTTAAAAAGTGTTATCTTACAACCCTGTTCAAGACAGCACTGAAAATAGGTTTATCTCTTCTTGCTGTCTTTTTTTAAAAAATAAAATTAATACTGACTTGGAACCAAAAAAAAAAATTATTTTACAATGTATTCTTAAAATTTTAAGTACTACTCTGCTTCTTCAATGTGAACTACAACCAGATATTTAAAAATACATCTTTGACATGCGCACACTGTGTATACCAGTTCTATTCTCTTTCTGCATGGGTCATGTGCTATAAAGCAATTTGGGAAGGGGAGAAAAAGAATACATAGCAATTCTGGAAAACTTTCCCTCTCTTTTCTCCCAATCTTTCACTATGTCTTGGAAAATGAGGTCATACATTTTAAACAATATGACTCCCTTATATTCCTGGCCCTCCAACACTCCAGAATGTTCTGGACTTTTCGTGAGCAGAGGTACAGTTCACGGAGTCTGTAGATCAGAACCGGGCTCCTGCTCCGCAGTAACCTGGGTCCAGTCCTCAACTAGATCCCCGAGATCCAGCCCTCGACGTCCTGCAGACCGAGGGGACCCACGAGGTCAAGAAACGTCTGGTTCCGGGGACCTGGCAGCATCTCTCTCTTAAGGATAACGGAGTTGAGAGAACCTGCCCTCCTGCCTGCTTCTTCCCATCCTTTGCGCCTAGGATTTTGCAAGTTGCCTGCGAAGGAGTCAAACATGGGTCAGGCAAACGTGTTCTTTCCAGCCACGGTAACCGGATCGCTGGAGTGAAATCAACCCGCAGAAGCATCCAGAGACCGCAGCCCGCCAGCCAGCCAGGCAGCCTGCGCAGAAAGCAACCACCAAGTGAGGCTGCAAGCGCCAGCCAAAGGGGCGCAGCTTTCAGTTTGGAGGCGAAAGCGCAACGACCTCGCCCCCCCGAAAAAAAGTTGCGGGGAGGGGGTGTGAGGATTGGAGGAGGGGGGCCGAGAGCGCCGGCCTCTGCACTTCGGCTCTTTGGGACCCGGGAGGGAGCCCCCCTTCCAGGGCCAGGGGGCGGGGGCCCGTCTCCCCCCATCCCGACAGCTGTCCAGCCCGCGGAATTCATTGGCTTCCCCCAGCCCGCCTCCCGAGCACCGCCCTGGTCTCTTTAGCCCCCCGCCCCACCCTCGCTGACCTAATAAGGCCATGCAAGAATGAGGGGCCCGGCATAAAAGGGGCGCCGGCGGGCCGCGCACGGCGGGAGCGGAGGCAGCGCCGCGCACCGCCATGGCCAAGGAGTGGGGCTACGCCGACCACAACGGTGAGTGTCCGGCGGCCCGCCGGGGCGCGGAGTCGGGGGCGCTCGCCCCCACCGGGCCCTTCCCTAGGGCCCCACACGCCCCGGCTCACCTTGATCGCGTTCATCTCGCCCTCTCCTGGAGCCGCTGGTATGCCCACTGCAGGAACCGGTAATGTGCCCAGATCTCAGTGCCTCTGACGGAGAAGCCCACCCACCCAGCGCCGCTTCTGGGGGTCCCCCTCTCTCGGAGACTGGCTGGGCAAGCTCTCCTTCACCTCTCTGAGCCCGCTCTGCCTGCAGCTTCAGCCTCCCCGTGGGGAAAGGGATACGGAGATGCTGTGAAACCCACTCCGTGTCAGCGCTGTTTGATTCCAGCTCTGTGACAGGAGAGGGCACTGGTGAAACATGCGATGAAGTTCACTTCAAAAATAAGTCTTTCAGGCTGTATCTGAGCCAGCACAGGGGCGCTTCGGGGAAATACACAGAGTTAAATAGCCTCACAGGTACACTGTTAACGAACTATGGACGGGTCTTGACCAACAAGCCTTGTGTTGCCCAATCTGCTATCCAAGACCTTTTCATAATCGCTGTCCAGCCTCCGTGTATTTGGCTGGTTTAGTCACTTAGAGAGAGGACTTGGATTGCGCCACCAGATAAATGAATCCCCTCAATTTGATTTCCTAGGTCCTGACCATTGGCACGAACTTTACCCGATTGCCAAGGGAGAGAACCAGTCGCCCATTGAGCTGAACACTAAAGAGATTAACCACGACCCTTCCCTGAAGCCATGGACAGCATCCTATGACCCAGGTTCTGCCAAGACCATCCTGAATAATGGGAAGACCTGCAGGGTTGTGTTTGATGATACTTACGACAGGTCAAGTAAGTATGACACCTAGGTAGAGACACAAGGACATTTTCAAATTGGCAAAATGTGATTTGTCACAGCAACAGAATCGGTGGGACAAGGGGGCACTTCTTATCTGAAAATGGAGATGACACTTGACCTCGCTCTCGTCTGAAGGATTATATTTATACAGTGAAGTAGAATGTCTCACTCTTTAACCCCGGTCACGCTGGCTGCTCCAAAATGGCCCCATGCCCAAGCTAAAGGTTGGCAGTGTCCCCCTGAAATGAGGCTTAGTAGGGAGGTGATCGTAACGGGTCCAAAGGAGTGTTCTTTGGGCTCTGACGGTCTATGCTTGAGGGGGGTTTGCATCCTAATGGCATACTGGAGAGCAAGGCTCCCCTTCTCAGGTGTGGCATAGGTTCCATCCTACAGAGTAAGAAACAGCAAGGAACAAGTAGGTATTCTCTTCTCCTGGGGTGTGGGCGGGGCCAATTCCGGGGAGCGAGCAGACCCATGGTATGAGCAAGAAGACGGGCCTTCGGTGGGGCTCTCCTGACTAATCATTTTGGTGAGGGCTTTTGAAGACTGACAGTTTCTCCTCGAGTTTTGGTTTGTATTTGTCCATGGGGTTGCAAAGAGTTGGATGCCACTGAGTGAATGAACTGAGCTGAACAGAACTGAACTGAAAATGGAAAGTTGCATGTTTAAAAAAAAGTATTTCATCTATAACCATTAAGCAAATCAGTGAACTAAAAGAAGGCTAATTAGAAGTACTTTATTTTCTGTGAATGAGCTAAGAATTTACCTTTAGCATTTTGGTACTTGATATACAATATATATTTTCCTATAACCACATTTGTAAAAAAGTTAAAATTATCCTTACTGATGTACATGAATGAATATTCTCTGTGATCCTGTAATTAAAGAGTAAAAGCTCTAATTTCTACCTACTAGCAGGTTCCAGGTAAGGAATATCATAGAAATGTATATTCTTTAAATAATTATCTCATTGGTATCTGTTATTTTTTCCTCCATTTAAATCAAGTTCCATTCTGAAGGATAAGTAATAAAATTAAACAGGATCTCTTAGGTTGAATCACATGAAGAAGCCTTTTTGTAAGCAAATATGATTGAATATTGACAATTTCATATGATTCATCCTAATAAACTGGACTCATACAACTGAATTATAACTGTTCCTAGTGGATGGTGAAAGTGCAAAGAACAATTAATCAAACAGAAAAATGCAATTAAAACACTCATTCCTACGTGACCAAGCTCATGCTAGTCTTGTTCTATTAGTTTAGACCTATCCTATGACTTTTAGTCTGCCATTTCAACACCAACAGTTGATCTATCTTTTCTAGAATAGCTATCCTCTGAATTCCATTTTGATTTAGCTTACATTGGTAAATTCTGATTTTAGGGCTTCTGTATAGTTTCCAATATCCTTTAGAAAATATTTGAACTTCTAAATCACTCTCCAGGCTGAATGAAGTGAAAGCGAGTTAAGTGCCAAGTTGAGATATTTGGACAGCAAACTCACATTCATACTACAGAGAATCGTCTCATGTAAGGGTCAGCATTGATTGATTCCCTGGGAAACCTCAGAGTTTTCCATTCCATCTTATTTGAATAAACACAGTCTGAATTAGCTGCGGGTGTGAGCTCTTGTCTGTAGTCTTGAAGAAAAGTGTAGTTGGAGGCAAGACCCAGAGAAAGAATTCACATTTGCTCAGTGATGACTATGCCAGGCACTGTGATGAGCAGTTTAAAGTCCTTAATCTCATTTAATCCTCACAGCAGCTCTGAAAGGTTAGTATTATTATCACCTTTGGCAAGATGCAGAAACGGGTTCAGAGAAGTTTAGCAACTTGCCTGAGACCACACAACTCGCAAGGGGTGGGGGTGGGATTGGAACCTGAGTCTGCCCTGCTCTCAACTGTCCTGTTCTCCCCAGTGCGGCCCACAACAAATTTTGATTTTGATTTTAGGGTTTAGTTGTTTCCATTGCCCATCTGCTGGCTTAATTTTATTTTCACGCTTGTGAAACTGACATGTAAAAATCACAAAACAAGCAGACAAAATCAGAAAGACAGCGAAGAGAAAGGATTTATTTTGACACACCCCAAGGCTTCACTTTGTGAGACAGAGACCAGTGTACTCGGGAATGCCACCACCAGCCCAGCCCAGCCAGCTTTGGCTCTAAGGTAGCTGTGTATAGCAGGGCTGTCAGAGAAGTTCGAGCTCGCTGCTGACCTAGCTTCTCTGGCTCGCAGTGCTGAGAGGTGGTCCTCTCACTGCGCCCTACCGGCTCCGCCAGTTCCACCTCCACTGGGGCTCCTCGGACGATCACGGCTCGGAGCACAGCGTGGATGGAGTCAAGTACGCGGCAGAGGTAAGAGGACCTGCCGGGACCCGCTCTGCATCTCACCCGGCGAGAACTGAGCCGACAGATAACGACGGAAGAGCATCCACTGCATGCCCTTCAAGCCCGTAGCTATGAAAGAGCTGCAGGAGTTTTAGCATAAACTGAAGCTGCCAGACAGTCTGGGTTAGACAGTTAAGAGGGTGGAGGTGAGTTAGTCACATGCCTGAAGACTTGCAAGGTTATATTTAGAAAGTGGATGGCTGCTTAATAATAATAATTTTATAAAACCAGGGCTCTGAATGGAACCGAAAAGAGAAGGGGAGTCAATGCTTATTAGGTGCCTGCAGGTATTAACCCATGTGATCCTCTCGGCATGCTATGGGGTGGGCTACAGGTGAGGAAACTGAGGTGCCAGAAGGTTACATAACAGTCACACAGCCCATGGTGCTAGACTGGTGCTCTGCTTCATGCTGATTGGCTTCATCATCCTGCCCAGTGCCCTAAGCCTCCTCTTTTATGAGAGTGTGGTGCTTTAAAAATAGCACTTAGCAATGCTAGCTGATGCCCAAGGCTCTAGTCTCTTAAGGAAGGGGGTGCGTCGGTATAGGTATACGTGTGATTTTATATGTACATGTGGACTTATGCATGCAGAGAGCTAGCTAGCTACAGATACACACAATTTAAAATGAGCAGATACTATATACTCTGTTCCTGAGAACCCATTAAAGGAAGCACATGATTTGTAGCTCAGATCAAGGCATCATATTACAAGGAAATAAGACAAGCCTCCGGCATGCTCTCTGTATAAAGCCAAGCCTATAAGGGGCGACGCATGCCCTGGAGGTGAGGATAATTCCATTCGCACTGCCAGACTCTTCCAGAGGCAGGCTCTGGTCAACAGGGGAGCCAGGAACCTTGGAGCCATTTGTGGACACTCTCTCATGCAGAATCATAAGACAGCTTAACTCAACTTAACAAAACAGCTCAACTGAACTGTGAGAGACCCAGAGTACTTCCCTGTGACCATTCTGCATCTCTGCAGGCCATCCAGACAGCCAATGACAGGATAAACCAATTGAGAATGCCTTTCAGACGTCTTTTCCCACAAAAGGGGGGAAATGTAGTATATTCCTTCCCAATAGGACCAAGGCTTGCAGTTTGGTCTTGACACACAGGATTATCACACAGTTTTGTTCCTGAAAACAGTATTTTTAAACTGCCATGAACTATGGTATTCTCTTGCCATTCTGTATAACTCAATGTGGAAATTTTGACTAATTTAACTAGTGCATATGTAAGCACCTTAGCCTTATTAAGATAAGGTTACCAACTGGTTCTAGTGCACATGTTGCTGAGAGAGGCATGAAAATATCCAACAATTTGTCCCCTTATTTTTCCTCTCCTACTTCCCAGTTAATTGTGACTTTAAAGTGTTAGCAGATTCCTTTTTATAGCTCTGTGTTTGATTTGGTCAGAAAGAGGACTAATATTATACAAAGGTAACATAATATTATGAATTGATTTAGTGACAGTTTGGTTTTCACCAATTCTACCTGTCATAACTTTTTATTTGAACCATCAAAGTCTTGCCAAAATGTTGCATGTTAACTTTTAGAATTCTGTCAACTTCTATGAGAGTGTTCAGCAGTCTTAGACCCTAAAATTGTTGGGTTTATTGTGAATGATTTCACACTTATTTCCTTATTTTAGGCATGTACCTCCTAACCTCTGTTCTATGGTTTCAGCTTCATTTGGTTCACTGGAATTCAAAATATAACAGTTTCGCAAGTGCTCTGAAGCATCCCGATGGAGTAGCTGTGGTTGGTGTTTTTCTGAAGGTAAGGTAAAAACTGAGTGCATATTTTTTTCAAAGTTTAGTTCCTTATCAATGCTTAGGTTTCACTTCATTTTATTTATAGGGGAGAGAGGAATGAAGTTCAGGATTCATTCAACTTATCAAGATATTTCCGATAAGATCAGCTCAAAAGGTTTTGTTCTCTCTGAAAAGAGTACCTTTTGCTACTTCGGTCCCCCTAGGCCTTCTAGATTTTCTCAAGGTGCAGGGTGTGTGTGTGTGTGTGTGTGTGTGTGTGTGTGTGTTGGGGCAGTGGGGATGGAGCCTTTGAAGAACCTTACTTCAGCGGCAGTGAAGGCAAGGGCAGCCTTATTCACTACCCTTTCCGGCTGCTCCACGTCAACTGCAGTGGAAACCAGAAAAGCCAGGGCTGGAAACCACTGCGATGCCAGGTCCCTGGCTGAACATCCTCTCAGCGCAGGGTGGCCACCACTCACATGATCCCAGGCTAAGATAGCACACGGAATGTGTGTGTAGTCGAGCCAGCCTTGGTTTAGAGAGGACTTAGTGTCATTAACACATGAATTTAGTGGTAACATGATCTAGATTTTAAGCCAGAGGTGAAAATCTGGCTTCTTTCTTTTTGAATGACCTAATTTGTTTTATGTTCTGAATTCATTGGGTCCTTTTCAGTGCTTGAACACAACACTACAGGAAGTGGAGTGGGTCCGAGCAGAAAGACAACAGGTTTAGTTTTGCGTACATTGAGTCCTCTTAGCTACAATTATATTAAAAAGAAAGCAGAATGACTTCACAGAGAATGTCAAGGACATAGATGTAAATCAACATGTAATTTTGTGGTTTTGTATTTCAGAGACCCAGAGTCCAAATTTAGTTCAGAAAATACATACTCTAAAATTTTGGGGGAGGGATAAACTTATGTTTTTGCTTCATGCAATATATTCTGGCAGATTTAGAAACACTGGTTGTAGATGGATGGATTAAAATCAGCTTTTAAGACAATCCTAAATTATGGAGAAGAGAAAAATATAATCGTTAGTTTTCTCTCTCTCTCTTTCTTATTTTTACAGATAGGACGTGAGAAAGGCGAGTTCCAGCTGCTCCTTGATGCCCTGGACAAAATTAAGACGAAGGTAAAAAGTATCATCTTCCTTCTTAGAACATAAAACCAGGTTATGTCAGTTTTTTCTTTTTACATTTTTCAAGTGTGCTTCTTTCACCCAAAATCTGTTAGTAAATTGTTCGATGAATATGCTAGGCAGGAATATAAAAGCAAATGCTGTGATGCTTGTTTGTATATTTTTATGGTTTGTTGGTGTTAGAGCAGTTTCACATACTTAAGCTTGTTTAATGCTCATAGTCAACCTGTCAGATAATTATATTTTTAATGAAATGTTTGAGAGAGAAGTTGAGTGGTGTTTCTCTGCCCAACACACACACACACACACACACACACACACACACACACACACACACTCTCTCTCTTACACACTTGCAGAGGTACTAAATGTTTGGGTCCTAGTGTTTCCCTTCCTCTCCTGGATTGCACCTGTATATTTTAAATCTTAACAGTAAATTCTTCTACTTAACAGACTCACTTAATTCTTTGAGACTGTTCTAGTCAATCTCTCCTCTGACCATGGGATTCTCCAGGCCAGAATCCTGGAGTGGGTAGCCTTTCCCTTCTCCAGGCGATCTTCCCGACCCAGGGATGGAACCCAGGGGTCCGCGGAGAGCCGGCGCTGACCGGAAAGCGTGTGTGTGTGAAAGGCGCTCAGTCCCGTCTGGCTCTTGGTGACCCCATGGACTGTAACCCGCCAGGCTCGTCTGACCATGGGATTCTCCAGGCCAGAATCCTGGAGTGGGTAGCCTTTCCCTTCTCCAGGCGATCTTCCCGACCCAGGGGTGGAACCCAGGTCTCCCACACTGCAGGCAGATTCTTTACCAGCTGAGCCAGCAGGGGAGGCGGAGGAGTAGGCAGTGTGTGTGTGGAAGTCTCTGAAAATATAAAGCTGCTAAATAGATGCTTACCCAGTCTCTACCGCTGGAGCTTTCCTAGTTTGCCCTGGTTAATTACCATCAGCCTGTTTAACTTTCTAAAACTCAGCTTCCAGAGGGTACCAGGCTAAAATGCACAACAGTTAAAGATGGTTGTGGTGCTGAACAATGCCTCACCATGTGCCCTGGAAACACTTAGGGGCTCAGATCCATGTGAGTTCAGTTCAGTTGCTCAGTTGTGTCCGACTCTTTGTGATCCTGCAGACTGCAGCACGCCAGGCCTCCCTGTCCATCAGCAACTCCCAGAGCTTGCTCAAACTCGTGTCCATCGAGTTGGTGATGCCATCCGACCATCTCATCGTCCTTGCTAATTTGGAGAACCCCAAACACTGAGGACTGTTTAGCAGATGGCATGGTAAATACAGCCTTGGGGAAAGGATGGGAAAAGATTGAACATCCTCATGAGGTGTTGGCTTCCCTGGTGGCTCAGAATGTGAGGAATCTGCCTGCCATGCAGGAGACCGGGGTTCGATCCCTGGGTCGGGAGAATCCCTGGAAAAGGGAATGGCAACCCACTCCAGTATTCTTGCCTGGAAGTTTCCAGGGACAGAGGTGCCTGGTGGGCTACAGTCCATGGGTTGCAAGAGTCGGACACAACTAGTTTCTCAGTTTTACTGCTAAGGAGGCCTATGCTCGGAAAGGTTAGGTAATTTGCTCGTGACCACACAGCCAAGGGTAGCATCTGAGAGTCCACCTCCCCTCTGTCAGCCTTCCAATGCCTTTGGTCTCTCTGTTTAGGCTTCCCTTCGTGTAAATTACAGTTCATGCAAATTGGCTCCATTAACTTATGCAGTGAAGGCCAGTTGAGCTTATTACTTGCCCTGACACTGTCTTCTACTCTTATATAAGGGATAGATTTCAGGCCGATTCATCAGATTAAGATAATTGTTTCAGAATTCCAGATGAAAAGGTTTTAATCACAGGGCCTAGTGATCCTGTACAAAAGGAAGAAAAAGGTTTTTTTGTTTTTTTAAACCAAAAAGAGGCTGTTCTTACTCGGGAACCAGCAACCAGTAACTCTGGACGGAACACCGGAGACCGGTTTTGTGGTTGGCGCGTTCAGAAAGCCCGCGCTCTCTCTAGCACGCCTGGCGTCCGCTCGCCCGGACGTGGTGTGACGTCTCCCCTCCCGCCTGCAGATTGCCAAGCTGCG